CAGCTCTGTTAAAGTCATCTTGATACTATCTACGCAACTCAAATTAGCAAACTGTGATCAGAGGGAAAAAACCACAACATCAAGCCGTCATGTGCATGCCCGTTTTCAATGATGTACGGAGACACTTCATTTAGGATTCAGTCTCCATATGCGACTATAGAAAAGACAGTTGTGGAGTGTAATACTTGTACAGTAAACCATGTAGGACAGTAATGAAAAGGCTAGAGGCGGGAAAATAGATAGAAAAGCAGGAAGCAGCACATTTTAACATCCACCAACTCTTGTCCATGCGCAGATACCCCACACCCCACCCAAAGCTTACTCACACACTCCCACTGAGAGGCGTGTCTGTCGCAGTGATTCGGATTACGGCTTAGACTGTCACAGTATGGATGGAGATTTCATTGGTAATGGCAGGTAGTTTAATCTTCAGAGTTCATCCCAACACTTTGATATCCATACCTGGCAGCATCTCTCTAGCATAACTCCTGGCTGAAGACGGTGAACGCTACTTTAAGATAATACAGTAGATTCATCTCTTTGACTTTATGTTCTACAACTGTCTACTGACCTTGGAAATAATCCACATTACACACTTCATGCAAACATAAACAGAAGGAAAAAAAAAAGTCATAAAATGGGCCAGTCAGTAAATCAGTTAAGGCAAAGAGAGATTTTTGATCTCGTAAAAAATGGCAGCGACTTCCCTCCCAGCATGCATCTGTTTGGCACTTGTGCCTCGACCATCAGTGTGGCTTGTTCTTGTTATTCATATGTGACTAATCAGCAAACGTGTGGAGGTTTTACACAACAAATCTCTCTGAAAAAACTATTTTAGGGGAGTTTAGAAGACCAGATCTTGAAATCCAAATAGCTGCGGAGCCGCAAAGATGCCACAAGGAATCTAGCTTGCGTCAAATACTTTTTATTGTGATGGATGTATGTGTAGTTTGGCCTCTGTAGAAATGTGATGATGGGATAGGGACACTCGTCATGCATTTGCCCAATCCTGAATTTGGCAGGAAGGCAGTAAGCAGGTCGCAAAACTGTAATTACACCCACAAGACCTGCGAGAGAGGCAACTGCCAGCGTGGGAAATTAACACCAACCACCAGCCAGAAAAAGTGTGGGCACTGTCAAAGTTTGTACCTTAGTCATTTTGTGGATTTGTAAACATTACAACACCTTTAAGCAGGGTCTGGATCATAACTGGCAGCATGGACAGCCAACAACCACAAAAATATGGGCAATGGCAATAAAAGTTTTCAATCACTTTTTAAAGTTAGTAACTACAACACGTTTAGCACATTCTGTACAAGAGTTGTCACACTCCGACATCCTCATTACAAGTGTTTATTTTAAGGCTAGCTTCACATCTTTTCAAGCATGCTTTAAAACAATAGTCATGAGCAGATATGATGATTGAAACAGGTTCTGCTTGCTATAATCACTCCTCCCGTTTTTACTTGCCTTTAAAAAGATTCTCTCTAAGTCTACAGTCTTTGTCCTGCAAAAATACCTGACAACATTTACCTTAATCTCTGGTCTTTGTTATACAAATCACTTGTGTGACTTTTAAGGTTAGTCTTCTTAAAACTAATTTCCCTTCTTTTTGTTATCATCCCTTCACTGCAGCTCGGCACATAAAACATATTTGAGGAAATATTGAGGTAGGTTTTCATTTATAAGTCTGTCTGTGAAAGTTACCTACTTGATTTCCATAGTGAGGCTGCTTTTACGACGTAATTTACTCTGTGTGAAATAATGCAGCTATTTCAGTAATGTATTGGAGGTGCCAATGTGAGGGCTTAAGCCAGAACAAAAACATATGGTCATTCAGCATTTTTTTTTAACCTGGCTCAACTTTTGTCAATACTCAGCATCATCCAGCATGGCACTGCAATGGCCAATTAAATATTTTCAATGTTTACTCTGTGATTGTCGTGGAGTAAGATGTAGACTGCTAAGCCTCGAATTTGCTCCAGATGAAGTTAGGAATACATTTTTTCTACAGAACGAGGCCTTAGGATCTTGTTCACTTGAAATGGAAGTAGTTGATATGAAAATATATTAAACTCTTAAATCACCAAAACGATGATAATTTTTTAAATGCCACAAAAAAAAAAAAACCTTGAATCCCTTTACCTTACATTTTGATAATAAAAAAAAACTTAACTCAAAGTCAAACTTTTTCAAGAACGTTTTTGAAATTGTTCTCTTACATTATAAATCCTGTATTTTTTAAATCAAGCGCTTTTGTTCACCTCACTGCCATAGTAGATATTTACGATTATCCCGATAAAGGAAATTCACCACAATCAACCTTTTGTGAGAGTTTTGCTTTCTCGATTCCTATATCTAAAATTCCTGATTGCAAGTGCTTTAGGAAAAGAGCTTATAACCATCTTTAAGAAGAACATTTTCCCACGGACACTTCACAGTTGTTGCAGCACAGACTTTGTGAACCTATCATTCAAAACAAGATCTTAACACAACTACATATTTTCCTATTGTCTTTTGAGAGTCCTTTTTGTGTGAACAGGTTTGCAGCCAGCCTTGGTGACTGTTGTTTATAGGTTCAGACTTTTGAAACTTCTGTGGCCAGAGTACAAAAAGCATGCCTCGCTTCATTTCCCGCCATTAAGATGATAAGACTTATGATATAGCCTACACTTAGTCACAACACTTTCCTGTGTTTGGAGGGAAAGCACTGGGACGGAGCGCTGCAGGAAGAATGGCGTGTGGCCTGTACGATAAAAACAAAGACAGCAGGGCCCACGGAGCAGCTTTTGTTCACGGTTCAAACACAAGGGAAGTCATTGCTTTTTCAAGATGATCCTGCATTGTATTGCAAAGAGGCGGCCATCTTTCCAAGGGTCCCGCTTAGTCCTGTTGTTAAGTTGAATTGGTCTTAGGAGAATTCAGCCAATTAATAGGCTTAATATAGGCCAAATTGGGCTCATTTTTTATCTCTGTGGCAAAAGAAATACAATATATTATAATGGTTACTTTAATTAAGTGATGCAAGTTCACGCTTTATGGTTTTACATTAGTTTGGTTTTTACACACTTAGGCCTATTTGTTTATAATTTCACCTAATAAGGGCAAAGAATAACTTGTTTGGTATGATCAATAAGAAGGACTGTGATGCAGCCCCTTCTAGCAATCGTTCATGTTACGATTATCCTGAACATAATAAAGTGGATTGCGGAAATTATCCCAATTATTATCAAGATAGTCGATAAGGTCAGTGAATAAAGAATTAAAAAACACCAACATTGTGTGAGTCACAATAAAATCCTACCCTGTCACTTCACTGGGTACCTATGTTATCCATAACAACAGTCGCAGGAGTAAATAGTGGTGTGAGCTGATCTAAACCCTGACTGCTGACGCTCAGAGACATTATATTACTCCAGGAGGTCACACAGTTATGCGTGGACTTATTACGACTCTAAGATTTTAAACAAACAGAACAACTTGGATATATGTTGATATTTGTTATGGTATTAATGGGTTTCCTTTTTTCACTGTTAACTGCAGATGGGTCCAGTATCACGTCAAAATACAACATCTTAAAAGCTACCAAGTAGGCAGACCGGCAGGGACATTTGGTTAAAAAAAAAAGACACATAAGACCACCTAGTAAGCATCTCAGCAAGTGAGGCCGACAGTGTAATGAGCTGTACTTAATTCAACAACATGTGGCTGCTGAAGTGTTAACTTTCTGCCCTGTTCTGGACATAATCCTGCTCTCACTCAGGTAGGCCCTGTTTCATTTGACTAAATAAGAGGGCTATGACGTTCACTACAGGCTATTTTTATTGCGGGTACAATGCCAAATAGAGTCATCATCAGCATTCCTGTTTCACTAGACAATTGTCAGCAATGGCATGTCAATGTATCTTCAGTCACTCTTGCTCAATTTTCCATACACGCGTCTACTTTGAGTTAGGAAGAAGTATGCAATTTTGTAAACAACTATAACAAGGAAAAACTTGGACTGCAATAAAAAAACATGAATGGAAATGTAGGCTTGATGGATCTACAGACTAACCTCTAAACAATGACACCTTCCATAAACTACATTATACATTAAACTATATCATGGCCCACCTTATTTTGGTTGTTCTGACACTTTGACAGTAACATTTTTGAAAAACAACATGTGAGAAATAGTCAAAATTCTGCAACCCTAATGAATTGAATGCAAGGCATCTGATTATTTGCCTGTCAATTATTGAGCTTTCTCATGTCCATCCCCCTTTAAAAAAACAAAACATTTCCTTATTTAAAAACTCTAATGCACTAACTTTCATGTGCCTGTTTTTTTACACATTACCTACAGGATATGAATCAGAGCAATGAGCAGAAAACGAGTGGGAGGGGGAAACAGGAATCTTCATTAGGTATTAACTGGAGATGCCTGAACGAAATGAGGAGAAATACCTCTGATTGAAATGTGTGAAAATGCATCTTTGAGCATGCAAGGAAAAACACATTTACCCATTTCAGCTTAAACTTTCTTATAATTTTTTTTAAATCCTAGTTTGTTTCTCTGCACTAGGGGAATAATACCACATTACTGCATCTACTCTGCACATCTTACGGGGTTCCTGCAGGTTTACTCATGATGTTAGTTCCCCTCATGAAAGAGTAGTTGAATGGTACGCAAAAACTTTTACAATACGTTCCCCATGTCCCCTTAAATGCATAGAAACACAATGCATGTGACTGTAGGTGCATCAGCTTGTCGAATTAGTTGTCAGGAGAGCGTCGCAAGTTACAAGAAACACAAAAGAAACGAGGGAAACCAGACTACTCTTCATCACCATCCTCCTCTTCACCACCCTCATCATCTGTGAAGCACAAGGCTCTTTAGCTTTAGGGAAATAAAAGACTACGGACCACGCTCTGTTTTAAAAAAGACCCACGGTTGTTCACGTCCGCCATAAACACACTACGGGAAGCTTGTGAAATGTTCCCCCCCTCCACCTTACCTCCAACCCGGTACATGTTCGCTGCCATGACTGCCCGGGTCCCTGGCTTCCTCTCCAGGTAGAGGGGAGGCTCTCTTCTCTCTCTCGCTGCCGGAGCTATGTTAGCACTGCCGCCGCTGTGTGTTGGAAAATGGTGGATTGATCAATACGAAACAGACTAGCTGAGGGACCTTAAAGAGACAGCGCACTATTTTTTCTTCACACTTAAAAACTCAAGTTTGGCGGCTGGGATTTGGTTTGGTTTCAAGTTTTGTATGAAACTACTTAATATATTTCAAGTTTTGTATTGTTACCGTTAGCTACTAGTATTTTCTAAACAAGGCAAACGTTACAGACGTTGGTGTAGTTCCACAAGTGACGTCACTGATCCATCCAACAACAACGGTTATCCCATTCACTTACCCTAATTATTCTTATATTGTTTAGTTTTATTGAGTTTATTTACTAATGAAACGACTAGTTTACATGATAAACAGAGAACAAATAAACATATGTTTTAATATGGGAATATTCCCACAATATGTAGTACAGAAAATGTCTTGGAGCAGTGTAACTAACCTGGTAGAACATTTTTATTTATAGATAGTCTATGGGTTAAACACTGACATATTACCATATTTTGAGGCGAAGCTCAAGTTGTACACTCATGTTGGTGGCTGTAATTTGGTTTGGTTTCAAGTTTTGAAAGAAATGACTAATTGTATTTCTAGTTTTATGTTGTTACCGTTAGCCATCAGCAATTTTCATAACATGACAGACTTTACAGACGTAGATGAATTCAAATGATTTGCTTTTAAAAAGTGTTTTTCCTTATTATCATATTTGTAAATGTTTAATTATAAATGTTTATATTAAAAGTACTATTACTTTATTTAGTTTATTTACAACTGTCAATATTAGTTTCCATGATAAACTGTGAACATTTTTAGAAATATTTAGGCCTACACTTTTTTCACTAAACTGACCTTTAGCCTAGCAAAGAAACCGGCTTAAACGCTAGATCAAATGTCATTAAGCAGTGCAACTAACATAGTTGAAGCTTTATTTTTTACAGTTAATTGGCCAAATTCAAAAATATTTCAATATTCAACTACATATTTGAAGAGTTTGCTAATAAAAGGCCTCAAGGTTGTGAAACTTCCTGTCCCATGCCTAAAACCAAATGTCGTTATCCCAAATCCCTAAGCTCTGTTGAGTTAAGTGAAGTTCATGAACCAACAGGGGTAGGGCCCCATGGGGTTAAATGGAATAGGCTTTTTAACATTTATAACATTTATTAGTGCATGGAAGAATGGTCACTAACTCACAGGTGTGTCCCTCACTGCTGTGAAAGTAGCTATAACCATACATGATAAGGATTACTTTACACATAAGGTAGGAAACCTGACCTGCCTGTTAGGGGGCTTTTGGTTAAGTTGGTACTAAAGTGTATTTGGACCGACATGATATTTTGTATTTTATTTCCATTTATTTGATCTAGATAAGATTGTCATGTGACCGTGGAACATCTCCTCTTTTTTCTTACATGGAGAGTTTTTACATCTGCTCAGTAATAATGTCAAAACTAATTATGTTATTCATTCTGTTAATTTATCTTACCATTTAATTTGTGCATGTATCTAAAAAAGAACTGTGTCCACATTGCATTTCATGGTATTATGAATAAAGCTCAATTTTGTAATACTACATTGCAGATTTAAGCATCAAACACTGTTCTGTATAGTTCACATTCACAAATATTTTAGCTAATTTTTTATAACTGTAAAGCAAAAAATTATACAAAATCATATACGCAGTGTGCATTGAGGGGAGCACAAGGGCAGTAATGCTATTGTGGGATATACAGAAATCTGGCAGCATCACAGGGAAGTGTAGGACTATCAAACTAAATACAACCACGCACTTAGTTAAATGAATGTACAGGCATACATGAGGGATGATGGAAAATGTGCAGGATTTAGTAGTTTGGCATAATCTGCCATACAAAAAGGGCATGTTTTGTACTGCAAAGACCACTAGCAATGTTTTCCTGTTCATCACCCATCGCAAACACAGATATTCTCCTTGAATATGGCAATAAGTATTGCAGTATGTCATAATTTAAATACATATCTCCTAAAAAACATAGAAGAGCCCAGCTTTTGTTTTCAATAAAAAAAATTGTGTTTAGCAGAAGGTGTCGAATAAGTGAGGTATTTTATGACAAGAGGGAGAATATATAGTATTGTCTTTTGCCAATAGTTGTTTGATTAGCTCCATTTTTCACTGTGGAAACAAGCGTAGAGCCTCTGTGCTGGAGGAGGAATGCTGTGGTGAGGGCTACATCTGATCTATACCATATGGAAGCCTCAATTACCGTTTTCTAACACAAGGGACTACAGCCTGCAGTCACATGACCACCGCAAGCCAATCGTGTGTACTTACAGTATGCACTCCTGCTCAAGTGTGCAGTCTCAATGTTGGAACTGTGCTGCATTGGAGGGATCCTGCATTGTGTCTCAGGCTCTTTTATGAAACAGAAATGAGAGAAAGTGCAGTGAGATTTTGAACATTTTTCTATGACAATCTGTAAATTGGGAACAAAATAACTATGAAAAATAAAACAGCATCATTACCAGTAGATGTTTTTGCGTATTATATATCTATTGCCCATTATACATTATGCTGCTCACTGCTTTTTGGCAACATATGATGCATTTATGCATACAACAAAGCAATTATCTGACAAAATGTTGCCGCTTGCTGTTTAGAAGATTGCTCCCTGTTTTTCACTTTATTTCATTTGCATACCTTGCTAATTGTTTGCAAAAAAAAGTATTGCAGCATATCTCACGGCATATCCCTGCACAGTGTGTGTTATATGTCATAGCGACTGGCACAAGTGAGCGGTCTTCCTCGCTGTTGTAATGAGGGAAACCGTGCCAATACTTAATATGGTCTCAATTAAAGAAAAATAGGTTCCCAAACACAATGTAGCCTTGTGTTTGGGAACTGTGACTACCTTGATTAGGAGTGTTTGTTGACTTGGCTGCTCGCTGCTGTGCAGATGTTCTATTTGAATCCACTTGCTCCTCTACCAGATGTTGCTGCAGTCATGAAGACAGGCAGAGTAGCAGGCAGGCAGAATACAATGCAGAGCGGTGCAGGTGTTCTCCCCTGGTGAATCTGTGGAGAGGGATTGGCTCGAGACACAGGGCGTCTGCAGAAACTCCCCTCGGGTTTGGTTGCAGTCCCAGAGGATGACCTCTGATGGCCTTTTTTCTTTCTTTCTCCTATTTCTCCCTTCATCCTCTTTCCTCCACGGCTACACAGGAGAGACAAAGACACATCGGAAATCAATTAGGCCTGTTTTCCTGGCAGAGAACCGTTCCACATTTTTGATTGCGCCTTCTCGTTTGTTCGCTCACTGGGGGTTGTGGTTGGATCCAAAGACACTATGGGAGGTACAACTATAAAGGACTATTGTTAGAGAGCTCTCTTCTCAGCACCTAACTGTACATTCTTGTAATTCATTGGGATTTCTCACTCGTTTTTATTGTGGAACAACAATCAATGTTTCTTACAACCTATAGACTCATTACATTACATGTCATTTGTTTTTATCCAAAGCGACTTACATACATTCAGTACTGGACAATCCCCACAGGAGCAATTTGAGGTGAGGTGTTTTGCCCAGGGACACAACGACATGCTGACTGCAGTGGGACTCGAACTTGCTACCCCCTAATTCAAAGTCCAGCACACTACCCACTGAGCCACAGCCTCCCTATTGAGCCACAGCCACCCGAGTCAGCCAAGTTAGTGACAGGTGTCTTTCATTGGCATTGACAAGCTCTTACTCATGTTGTAGATTGTAAGAATAATAACTTTATTTATATATAGCACCCATTAAAAGCAGAGTTTTTACAAAGGGCTTGGATAGACCAAGCAGAGGCAGGATACTCAAAAGATACCAGAAAGCTAAACAAAACCAAGACAAATTCATTATAAATTATTAATACAAATAAAAAAGAATAATTAAAGTAAAAGCAATACAAAGACGACAATAAAATAGGATAGGTATGTATAAGGTAAAGTGAATTGAATGCGGCTGCAACTAACGTTTATTTTAATTATCGGTTGATCTGCCGATTACGTATGTATTACGAAAATAGGAAAGAATGTCGCTTCTAGTTTCCCGAAAGTGATGTCTTCAAATGTTTTGTTTCGTCAGTTGAAGGCCGAGATATTCAATTTAATATGATGTAAAAAAGAGATCAGAAGAAAATCTCCATATTTTAGGGGCTGAAAAAGCATTTATTTTGGTGCAATTTTTCATACTTTTTCATTCATACTTTTTTTTTGAAGGATTAATTAATTATCAAAATATTTAAACATTATTGTCATTCTTTAACTAATTGTTTAAGCTTTAATGTGATTCAAACATTACTCAAGCTCAAATGAAGAGGCATCACCACCGGATCACGGAAAATAAAAATAAAAGATGGATTCTATCATGTCACAAAGTGTTTTGTATTGTCTGTCTTTATTCTTTTCGGTCCTGAACATGACAGTTCTCCCCTTCATTTTGTTTCTACCGCTCTGAAAGCTTTGACACGAGGCAGCGCTGACTCTTTTAATTGGGAATCTCTGCTGCAGGGGATCTGTCAAACAAATTGCACAGCTAAAAACATCAGTAACTGAATTAACACCTCAAAATTATCTTAAAGCCGACATACAGCTTGCATTTATCAATATCAGACCACAGGGGGAGCTATTCTCATGCTTTTGAAAAAGTGTGCAGTTGAGACAAAGGGGCAGCCGCTTTATGGCCATGCATAGTTGGATTTGCAGTGACATCTCTGAGGAAAATAAGAAACCTACACAAATGTTAACAGCAATGCCTGAAATTATAAAAAGTTCTATATCTTCTTGCGCTATTTCTATGACTTGAGTATATGTTACATTGTTGTAAGAGACTGGGGCTTAAGATTGTCATTGTTGTGTCTCGTCAAATGTGTTAGTAATGTTTATGTATTTTGTCTGTCATTTCCTGTTTAATTTTGTATTTACCTCTTGTCTTTCATTTCAGGCCGTTTTCTTCCTCCCCTTGTGTTTTTTTCCCACCATCATCAGTGTCTG